TAGTTGAAGGATCATGGTAAGTACTTTGCAGACAGGATAAGATTTTCTTTTTTCAAAGCGAATACCACTCTGTGTGTGTAGTACAAGCAACATTTTTAACTAGCAACAAAAAGATACTCATATTAATCAGACTAGCTGGTGATTGAAAAGTTTTGTTGTAACTAGTGGGATGAACAACTAAAATGTGTACATCAAACATGGACATTATAGGGGTAGTACAGAAAGCAACTAATGTAGGTAATTTTGTTATAATCCTCTGGTAACTTGTCACTTTGTTAGATGGTAACTGTTGTTATCATGCATCTAAACCCATTTTCTATGTGCCCATTTTTTATGTGTTTTAAGCTAGTGAGGGGTGGGAAGTAAAATACCAGTCAGGCTGTTGTCAACACAATCCTTGAATGCATTGTTTAGTGGGTCATTGTCAGCCATCAGCTTCCCAAGCTTCTCTTGTGCTTTTTTCATTATATGCCAGCGGCAATTCCTGTGTACTATCCCGATGAAGACCTCATCAATAGCACTCCTCATTGCAAAATCTTGATCTGTTATTATGTTCTTTGGCGCAATTCCACCCATTGCATGCAAGAATGCATTAAACAGCCACACAAAGTTACCAGATAGTTCGTTTCGAACAAACCCACAACCAAATTGGATCGACTGCCCATGGTTATTAATGCCAATGAAGGGTGCACAGGGAATTTTGTACATGTTTGTCATGTATGTTGTGTCAAATGAGATGACATCATTGTATCTAGCATATGCCCTGCGCGACGCACCATCTATCCAGAATAAATTCTCCACTCTGTCCTCATCATCAAGCTTTATTCTCCAATAGAAATCTGGATCTTGTGCCTTCATATCTTGGAAGTACGAGATTGTGCTCCCCACATCAGCATGGCGGTACTCCATCCGGAATTTAGCTCGCTGGTTTGCGATGTCCTTTGTTGTGTATGGTACATCTTTAGGATTCCCGTAGAACCATTCCATTAGTTGCATCTGTCTGGCTGTCTCTATGTTGCATCCGTGCAATATCTTCAAGAAGTCCTGCTCATCTTTTGGAATGTTCCTATGTGATGATAGGAACTTTGTCAAGGACGGCTTTCTTATTAGAGGGTGGTTGTGGTCGTCGTTGAAGCGTTTGACTCTCCACCACGCATCCGTGTGGGTGATGTAAAGGTGGGCCGGACATCCCGACCTCACAACCTTCCCTCGTTTCCTCTTCTTCACGATGCCTTTTGGGTCCTGCACATCCTCTGTCTCTTCCTTGTTTGTTTTTGGCTTGCCGTATTTCCCACAAACCAGGAGGACTCTGCTTACAGTATTATCTTTGATTGTTTTTCTGTATTCCAGTCTCATTCCAAACCCATGTCTCTGTGCATATTGCCTGTAGTGTTCATAAGCTTCCTCAAAAGTATCAAACTTCATCGTTTCATCAGGAGGTTTTGGTGTGGAGTATGCCTCGGTATTTTTGTCTCCCTGTTCAGCATTCTCTCCCCCTGTTTCTGGACTCGCTGGCTCGCTGACTGAATGATCAAAGAAGTTTTCTCTCCCCCCTATGCTGCTAGTAGTCGGTTCTTTGCTTGTTTCTCGAACCATCGGGTTGCTTCTAGAAGTAGCACCTATAATTTTTTGAAAGTTGTTATTTTGTGTTATATTTTTCTGCATGCCAAAACTAGTGGTAACTTGTACTCCAGTTTCTTGGTAAAGTTTGCATGCATTAAGATGTTTCTTTTGTAGCTGTAAAGTGAAAGCATGAAATTCCAATTGCAATACATATTGCATGATAATTCGTATGCAGTAAGTGAGGTAACTGTGCCTAAATTCATGGTAACCAGTGAAAGCATGTAATTCCAATTTCAATATAGATTGCATGATAATTTGTATGCAGTAAGTTTGGTAATTGTACCTAAATTCATGGTAACCTATGTGCATCAAGCTACGTCATTTGTCAACTGTTTCATGGTGAATGTGATAGTTGTAAATAACCTAAGGTGGTAGTTGCAATTCAAGTACGATGGTAACAAATTTGTGTACAAAATTGTGGTAGCATGGTAAATGTTTTACCTTCATCTGTTTTGGCAGAACCAAAGCTTGCCGTGTGTGCATATTCACACTGTTGGTTTGTCCCCACACCACTCATCATGACATCCACATTACCACCGTTGTCATGCGCCATTTTCTTGTGTCGTAGCACCTGCTAGTACATATGAATGCACCAATTAATTTTCCACAATTACTAGCAATCTTGATTATTTTTTCACAACAACTATATTTTTTTCCTTTTAATGCCATGATAACTTCTGTTTTATAACAAGTATCGTTTTGGCAGTAACCAACATATGGGAGTATGACAACGACAGTTTCTATGAACCTCATTTCATGAACATCATTTTTATCAAAAAAGAATGGTGGCAACAATGTAAATCAACACATGGTATTCTTGTAGTGTTTTTAGCACCTTTGGTTCTGAGTTTTTCCTGGTAATTTGTAATGAATTAGCACGATAACTTGTTCTGACATGGGTGTGTTCAATATATAAAGGATGGGTGTGTTCAATATATAAAGGAAGAAAGGGATCTTTTTTTATGTTGAATAAGTCTTACAGGATGCTGATTACTCAATGCACACACTCTGGTAATCTATTTTCAATCGAGATGGTATGTCAGTTTTAATGAGAAAATTCATACATGTATTTTCTAACTTGACTGTAAAAGATGAAATTTAGTCAATCTTTTTGTTGGTAACCTGACTGAATTTGAGTGGTAACTCAATTTCAACATGGGAATTACACACATGTAGTAAAAATACTACCTTTTCTTGCATGCTTTAGTTCTTGTTGTTTTTTCCCCATGTTTTCCCCCCTTGATTTTATTGGTATGAAATGCAAATGCAGCATGGGTATAGAGGTAGCATGGGTATAGAGGTTGAATCACTTACCTCCTTTCTTCTTTGACTGATTATGACGAAATATGGACGAATTGATGATAACCCCTATGATGTTCTTGTGGTAAACCGGGGCCCTCCCTCAAATCCTTGTGTTTTGGTGGTGTTTTTTCATGGTTTCCCTTTTTTTGTGGATCTGATCTGGCGTCGATGTTGCTGGCGATGGTGGCGCGTCGGGGAGAGAGGAGAGAACTGATCGGGGCAGGTGGCTGTTTCTTGCGATGGAGGTAAGAAAGTAGGGTTTGGGTGGTAAGTCACGTGCAGGAGGGGGGAGGTGGGCCAAATTGGGCCTCGATCCGTTGCGCGGGGAAGGACGCAGTAGGGGGGAGGTGGGCCTAGCGAGAGAAGTCTGGGTCGTGGGTCGAGCTACCGAATTGGATCACGCGCGGGAGGGACTCAGGTTCCCGATCGTGCGGATCTGTCGCTAAACCACCAGTCGGCTGGTGGTTAGTCGCGTCCTTTAAATTATATGCCATGTCTTTGTTTTGTGATGTGTGAAATTCATTTTTTGTCCAAAATACAACAAATGACATGCGCCGTCTGCTCGAGCGCGCTGCATTTTAGCGCGCTGCTGGAGCTACGCGCGCGTTGCATTTTACGGCGGCTGCTGGAGCCAGCGGTGCGCGCCGCACCAAACCAAATGATGGGCGCACTGCAAACTAGTTTTTAGCGTGCCGCACGTTGGGCGTCTGTTGGAGATGCTCTAAGGTCGAGGATCTAACTAATGTGAAAGCACCCGTTAACTACATGAGAGTTGAACCAAAGATATATGAACCTAAATGCTGGCAAGAAACAGGACATGGATAAAAACATCCAGCTTGATCTCCCCATCTGATGGTGCAAAGAAAATCAATCCACCGGCTTCTGGATATATATGGGCCATTCACGCCTAGCAATAAAAAGTAGAAAAGGAGATGTAAGATCAGGGATTATACTAATTACATCAATCTGATCAAATGTAAAAGCAGAAACACGCATGTACAAAGATCATTGAGCACATGTACAAAAAAGAAATAAAAAAGCTAGCTGCTGCATGTGCAATAACTCAAGGGTAATTAACTAGCATAATCATTTGCCATGTTTGCTTTCTTTAAGGGTGGTCATAGTGGGGAGTAACTTAGACTAGTAACATGCATATGTTACTAGTCTATGTTACTACCTCTATAGTGGGTAGTAATATATGTGCAGTGTCATGCATCACTTCATTTATTATTTCATAGACTCATTTAGCATTGAGAACCGCTATGTGATGGTAACATATTATGTTACTCTATTTGTCTCTTTCTTCATTAACTACTTGACACGTCATCATTTTTGCTTACATGGCATCTATGTTACTACTTATGTTACTCCCACTATGACCAGCCTAACATGTTTCTTCTAGCAGAATCATTTAGCTTGTTTTAGTAATAAAAAAAGAATCTAATGGTCTTTACCAAGACACCTCACGAACAGATGTGCACGCCACAAATAGAACAATAAAATAAGCTACTAAAGGCATAAATACACTTCTACTCCCCTGTTTTTAAATATAAGCCCTTTTAGAGATTCCAATAGATTCACTCATTTTGCTCCATATGTAGTCCTTATTGAAATCTCTAAAACGGCTTATATTTAGGAACGGAGGGAGTACATGATTGCAAGTTCTATAGTGAGATGTCATCTGCAGCTGCTAAATTGCTAGCTGAAATTATGCAAGTCAAATTGCATATTAAAGTAAGTACCAGTGGATAAATGATTGATTTATTGAGAAGAATTTCTTTTAAAACAGCTGGGCAAATATCAATGATGCATATCACCTGAACAGAAAACAATGGGTTTGTAAGTAGCACAAACACCTCTTCAGAACTGCTTCGATCTGAACTGGGCGTATTCTGATTGTCGAGGTTTTTTCACCTGGGTGTTGATCAAGGGCATAAACTATTGTGGCTGACTGGCTGATTGGTTATTTATTATACGAGAATAAATGGAGGTGGTTACTAAGACTATCATGATGTTAGTACAAAAGACCAAGGGTTAATTGTGAGTAAGATTTACCCAAATGCGAAGCTTTCTCTTCACCTTCCAACAAAGCCATCCGGGTTTTTCGGTTTCCTTTTCAGAATATACCAGCCCTTTGTTCCTAAAAGGATCACAAGAAGAATGGCCCAGTAAATAAGATGATCCAAGGACCAATTGCGGACGACGGGGGACGGTGCGAGGACACACAGAGTAGGACCACTGACATACCAAACATTGCGAATGCAGCAGCTAATGACATGTTGGATGAGGCTATAAGGACCTGGGTTGAAGCCGTCGCTATATCCATCGAATGGCTGAGACCAAGCACCGGTAGTGAGACGGTATTGCGCAAAACAACGGTTGAGTGGACATGTATACACAACTGTCTCAGCGATGATGGTTGGCAGTGCCTTGGAGGAGAAGCTCAGGCTCCGATCTTCAAGGAAGAGGGCTCGGTCTCCGATGCTTGTTACCGGGACAAACCTCTCCAAGATGAGGTCCTCGAGCTTGTAGATCGAAATGTGAGACATGGAGCTGTCGGTATACCCGGCAAGCAGGATCTGCGAGTTGCATTCTACAAGGTGGTAGCCGCCGTAGAGCTTATCTGCTGGGCATGTGGCAATCATCTTTGGCGGCAGCGGCGGCGAACCAACCTCCATCTGGAAGACCAGCGAGCCATTAGCGCAAGGAAATTGCACCAAGTATAGCTTGCCTTGGAGCGACAAGGGTGCGATGTTTACTGGGATTTCCCAGCTTGGCATTGCCCATTGCCGGTCCTCGGAGGTAGCAAAGGCTACACGTCGCAGATGATGGAACACAAGCATCACGGTGATGGCTCCGGCGCTGCAGGACACGGTAGCACAGACGCAGTATCTGATTAAGGACCACCACCAGTAAGGATCAGAACCACGAGGGACCGAGGGGTCGTTCTTTAGCTGCGCGAGCAGGGTGGCGAGTGGTGGGAGCTCAGCGATGTCGCCGGTGAACGGGTGGACGAGGCGGATGCCGGTGTCCTCGTCCCTCTGGAGGAGGAGGAGGTCGTCGACCGAGTCAAGAGCGCAGTGGCTGTTGAACAGCGGGAGCTTGACACGGACAAAGGTTCCCGTGTCAAGGTTGAAGAAGCGGACGTAGCCGCGCAGCCTGCTGTGGCCGGGGTAGAGGCCATGGCCCTCCGGCAGCATCATCCAGCGGCACGGGTGGAAGCGCGGATCGGCGGCGCCGCGGCCACACGGGCAGACGGTGCCAGACCGCCAGCTGGTGCAAACGGCGCGGAAGCGCACGTAGTCCAGAATATCGCCCGAGAGCACTCTCCAGGCTATCGCGCAAACCAAATCCTCTGAAAGCGACGCCCAGAGGGGGGAAGAAAACGGGGGCGCCACTGCGCCAGCGACATCATCCAATGGCACCGCCGCAGGCCGGCGGCACCTCCTTGTGCGCGCAGTCGTGGTCGGCGGCGCCGAAGTGCGTTTTCTAGATCTCGACGGCGGCATCCTGAATTCCAACTCGCAGATTTGATCCACCAAATAAGAGATGACGAATTTTACCTCTGGACAAACGAAAGAAACGCTAGTGATGAGGAATATGAAATAGTCGACGGTCACCCCCAGATTATCCAGCTTATAGGGGATAAATTACACAGATGAAGGGGGCGCGGAACCTGTGGACTTGAGAAGTTGAGATGGTGAATGCCTGTGGAGCACGTTTGAGGGGATTCACCGGCATCGGCGGCCTCGTGCTACGCTTGTCCACTGCTTGGCATGACCGGCGGCCATTGCTTCCGAGTTAGGAGATCCTCGTTCTCAATTTCGATTTGGGAAAGGCGAAGCTCAGAGGCGGCAAGGTCTTCTCTGCCTTCGTCCCTTTTTTCTTACCTCCATAAGTGTCATGGTAACTCCCAACGTTTTTTTGGCAAATTTAGTGATCCAAGATGTCAACTTTAGTTGTGAAGCATGGTAAAAAAAATTATAGCAACTTTTAGTTTTTCTTTTTTTCTTCTTCTTTTTGAATGACAACTTTTGTAAAAAAACGTTAAGGCTGAAGTGCTCCGTGCCATACATGTGTCAATTATCAATTAAGTTTTTCTTACTAGTACAAATACCCGTGCGTTGCAATGGACATGGAATCTTGCAGAACCTGCTTCATGTGTCATTAGCTACAATTCTTATTTTCTTGAGTTGAATCACTGTGATTTATTAACAATCTCCATTGATTCTGGGCCTACCAGCGTGATAACACACGCCGGCGAGACATGTAACCATATTTTACAAAGCTTATTCGTACAGCATTCGTTAGCTAAAACGGTTAAGTAAATAGGCAATTTCTCGATTAAATTAATCCATGAGTAAATCACTAGCATGGCATTGACTAAGTTGATGACGTACTGACTCTGATCTAAACATGCACGTACTAAGCAAACGGTAGACAAATCTACACATACTGCTAGTACTGCTAATATGAAAATAATCAGGAGCGGGATACACGAGTTATACCCTCCAGTAGGCCACGCAGAGGCCGCGGCTTTGGTGGCAGCAGCGGCGTCCTCGGCGACCTTCTTGTCGGCTTCAGCTTTCTCGGCGGCGGCACGGTCGGCGTCGGTGGACATGGTGATGATGAAGGCGACGCGGACGTGGAGGAAGTAGACGATCGGAAGCGAGCAGTCGCGTAATCGCTGCCCAAAAACCTATTCGCCCCTCACCCCGTACAGGAACCAGAAGGGCGTGGTTTCGAAGACCTGCTCTCCCGTCGACCGTGTACGTGGCGGACGGGATGGAGTCACCGGCGGCAGCAGCAGCAAAGGAACGACGGTGGACGTGCGCGTGAGCAGATGTGATCTGTTCGTGGCGGCTAGGGTTAGGAGACACCGCATACTTATAGGCGCAGCCGCGTGGAGAGACGTGGGCTCGACCCACGTCCGAGTCCGTGACAGCCCACGATCCGACGCCTCAGATCGTGGCCCAGCTGTCAGAAAACTCTCCGTTAGTGACTGGCAAAAATAAGCGCGTAGGTGTGAGCTCGGCTCGGCTCAATCCCGCAACCCGCGGCGCGTCGTGACGAGGCGTGGCGGGCGGAGGAGGAGGAGTGCGCGAGGGCTTCTTCTCTTCTCAAGCTCCAATAGCATGTAGAAGAGAAACCCTTATAAACCACTCCAACTCTCCTTCCACTTCCGGGGTGGGACTAAACTTCCCACCGCACCTAGTGCCATATAACCCACATGGGCCCTTAGAGATTTTTCAGAAATTGCAATATGGGCCTAGAGCCCATCTCAGATTTCAGCAATCCCCCACCAGATCTCGAGGGCCCATTGTGTCCTCTGTTCCAATTGTTGTTTCGATATACCAGTGTTTCAGTAAAGACCTGTTAAGGTTGAACTTCACCTAGAACAAGTGGCTACACTCCTTCACAACTGAACAATGGACTATGCCTTGAATTGTCAGTTTGGCGTAAAGAAGTTTCACTACATGTCTTACTAGTACTAGGCTGCCGAAGGCTGACCCCTCGGGTGGAGCATATAAGTCACACTCCTGGCCTATTCATGAGCTTACTAGAGATCACCCCAATCTCATAGACTGTGACCAGCAGTCGGGCTCATATAGGTGTGTTCCTCCAAAGATCGCTCTGTAGGATAGCATCTTGCTTTTATAAGCTTTGGAACACATTGAGACCGTAGTCATCCTACCATACAGTATCGAGAGTATTGCATCTCCAACGGAGTGGGTTAGTATAGTTACTCTCCTCAGTTCACCACTGGCTTGTTTTCCCAGGTCCTAGTTCACGGGATCTCCGATCACATAGGTTGGGTTACCACCATGGAAACTCATGTGGGTCTCATACCCATCTCCCTCGATGCATTATCTATCACAACACGTGATAGCCCTTTTGTAAAGGGATCTGCCAGATTCTTAGCCGTATGGACATAGTCCAACGCTATCACTCCGGAGTTTCTTAATTTTCTGACAGCTTTTAATCTCATTCTTATGTGTTTGGTGGACTTCATGTTGTCCTTTGAACTCTTCACCTTGGTGATGACAGTCTGATTGTCACAGTTCATAAGGATAGCCGGAACCGGTTTATCAACCAATGGCAAGTCCATCAAAAGATCTCGAAGCCATCTCGCTTCAACACCAGATGTGTCTAATGCCGTTAATTTTGCTTCCATTGTCGATCTCGTTAAGATCGTTTGCTTGCAAGACTTCCAGGAAACAACGCCACCTCCAAGAGTAAACATATACCCAGTTGTGGCCTTCATCTCATCAGCATCAGAGATCCAATTCGCATCACTATACCCTTCAAGTACCGACGGGTATCCGGTATAGTGAAGTCCATAGTTCATAGTACCTTTCAGATAGCGCATAACTCTCTCAACAGCATGCCAATGTACATCACCCGGTTTGGAAACAAACCGGCTCAGTTTGCTCACAGCAAACGCGATGTCAGGCCTCGTTGCGCTCGCTAGGTACATCAGTGAACCAATGATTTGAGAGTATCTCAATTGATCTTTAGCCATGCCTTTGGACTTTCGAATCAATACGCTAGGATCATATGGTGTTTGAGATGGTGTGCAGTCCGAATATCCAAAACGACTCAACACCTTCTCAACGTAATGGGATTGCAGAAGTGTGATCCCACCCTCATTATCTCTCAGTAGCTTGATGTTCAAGATAACATCAGCCATACCAAGGTCTTTCATCTCAAAGTTCTGAGATAGAAACGATTTGACCTCCTCAATGACTTTGAGGTTTGTTCCGAATATCAGTATGTCATCAACATACAAGCACAGTATAACTCCTTCGCCCCCACCATGGCGATAGTATACACATTTGTCAGCCTCATTAACAACGAAACCAACAGATGTCAGAGTTGTATTAAACTTATCATGCCATTGCTTAGGTGCTTGTTTCAGGCCATATAAAGATTTTATCAACCTACACACCTTTCTTTCCTGACCATCTATCACAAAGCCATCAGGCTGTTGCATGTAGATTTCCTCCTTTAGCTCTCCATTTAGAAAAGCCGTCTTAACATCCATCTGATGGACGAGAAGACCATGTGAGGCCGCCAACGAGAGTAATACTCGAATGGTGGTCAGTCTAGCCACAGGTGAATAAGTATCAAAGAAATCTTCATCTTCTTGCTGGTCATAGCCCTTGGCCACAAGCCTAGCCTTGTACTTTTCAATCGTACCATCGAGCCTAAGCTTCTTTTTGAACACCCACTTACATCCCAGTGGTTTGCAACCATAGGGACGGTCAGTGATCTCCCATGTCCCGTTAGCCATGATGGAATCCATCTCGCTACGGACCGCATCCTTCCAGTAGTCAGCTTCTGGAGAGGCATGCGCTTCTGAAATAGAAGTGGGAGTATCATCCACGAGGTACACGAAGAAATCATCACCAAAGGTCTTTGCAGTCCTTTGTCTCTTGCCCCTACCAAGGGTTTCCTCGTCATCCTCCTCGGGAATTTCATCATGTGTTTGTTCATAATATTCCATAGGGATGGCAGGTTCAGGAGTCTCCTCAGATTCCTGTCTAGAAGTGCTTTGCATATCTCTCATAGGAAAAATATCCTCAAAGAATGTAGCATCCTTAGACTCCATAATTGTACCGATCTTCTGGTCAGGTACCTCAGATTTCACTACTAGAAATCTATAGCCAACGCTGTTCTTAGCGTAGCCCAAATTAATGCAGTCCACGGTCTTATGTCCAAGCTTACGCTTTTTGGGGATCGGCACGTTGACTTTCGCCAAACAGCCCCAAGTGCGCAAGTACGAGAGTGTCGTCCTTCTCTTTGCCCATTTCTCATAGGGAGTGATCTCACTATCCTTTGTCGGAACTTTATTCAGGACATGACATGCCGTCAATATAGCCTCCCCCCACCATGCCTTGGATAAACCCGATGTATCTAACATGGCGTTAACCAAATCAGTTAGAGTACGGTTTTTCCGCTCGGCAACCCCGTTTGACTGGGGTGAATAGGGAGGCGTCCTCTCATGAATAATGCCGTGTTCTGCACAGAAGGAATCAAACTCACTCGAGAAGTACTCTCCACCACGATCAGACCGGACTCGTTTAATTTTCTTTTCAAGTTGATTTTCAACTTCTGCCTTATAGATTTTAAAGTAGTGTAGAGCCTCATCTTTAGTATTTAACAGATACACATAGCAATATCTAGTGGAATCATCTATCAATGTCATGAAGTATCTCTTTCCACCTTTAGTCAACACACCATTCATCTCGCAAAGATCAGAATGTATGAGTTCTAATGGTGCCAGGTGTCTCTCCTTCGCGGCCTTATGAGGCTTGCGAGGTTGCTTAGCTTGCACACATGAAAGGCACTTAGAACCTTTGGCTAAAGTGAAACTCGGGATTAAATCCAACTTGGCTAGCCGCGTCATAACACCAAAACTAATGTGACAAAGACGTGAATGCCAAACTTCAGATTCATTAACATTCGAATGAATATGGTTCACGACTTTATTACAAAAATCTGCGAG